CACATTCTTCAAAATATCTTCTTTTGTGTTCAACTGAAGAAAGAACTTCATACATTCTTCAAAAAATCTTTTGAAGAATGTGGATAACCGAACAGTTGATGGTACCCATTGACTTCCATTGTATGGAAAAATGGAAAAGTCAATGAGGATCAACAATTGTCCAGTTACCCACATTCAACAGAAGAAATTCATACAGGTTTGGAACAACTTGTGGGTGAGTAAATTATTTTCTTATTTTGGTGAACTATCCTTTTAACTGTCTCTATACTTAGTTTACAGTCATAATGTAAATGACTAACATGACCTCATTAGTATCCGCAGGTGTTTATAAAATGAACTGGATTCTGTAGCTCATGATGCAAATCTGCTTACAGCGGGACGACCTACTTCTTTTATAAACTGCAGTTAGAGAGGCATAATTCAGATGTTATGGAATGTGGGTCTATTCGTTCATTTCAGGACTTGAAAGGCCAATTTAATCTTCCAGGGTGTTCATTTTTCTTTTACTTTACAATTTTGTGCTTGTAAAGTCTGAGGCATCCGAATTATATGATAAAATATTAGAATGTTCCAATTAAATATTAATTGGATGTTTATTGCATGAAAGACCTGGAACTTTTGTAATCTGAATCTAATTGGAAGGTTGATTGGGATAATATTGCTGCAGCCTCGAGAAACCTTAATCTAATTATTCATTATAGCTTTCTTCACAGATTGTATTTCATGCCACATAACTTTTTTTTATGTCTCAATAACTGAAGCTATACTTTCAAAAGGTTGTATATTTCACACTTTCACTAACCAAAAAATACAGTAAAAACAGTAATATTGTGAAATGTTAAAATGTCATTTATTCCTGATCAAAGCTGAATTTTCAGCATCATTACTCCAGTCTTCAGTGTCATGGTCCTTTAGAAACCATTCTACAGTAACATGCTGATTTGCTGCACAAGAAACATTTCTGATTATTATCAATGTTGGAACGGGTAATATTTCAGTGAAAATAGTGATACATTTCTTATTTCAGGGTTCTTTGATGAATAGAAAGTTTGAAAACTGTATTTATTTGAAATAGAAATCTTGTGCAACATAATAAATGATCAATTTAATGCATCCTTGCTGAATAAAAGTGTTAATTTCTTTAAAAAAAAGGCTTTTTGTTTTCTCAGCACTCATGGTTGTTTTTGTTATTTGCTTTAAAATTAAAGCCTTTTTGCATCGTTTTAATCAATTAGTATTCCCTCCTCCGCTCTTGAAAATTGTGCTAACATGCTCTATTGATTTCTCCACGCTAATCTTTGTTCCCTTGCATATAGACCCTCATGCATATGCATGCAGCAGAGGTTTTAATATTAATGCATAATTAAACGATCAACTCAGTGGTTTCAGCACTTGGAACAGATATTGACCCGTTTACTGTCGCATGGAAAACAAATGGAAATATTCAGTAAACATTCAGTAATAACATAAGGCCAATGTGATAATATGTGATGTTAAATGAGTAGTTGTTGGTGTCATGCAGAGTTTCCCAAAGGCTCATTAGTTAAGGGGTGATTTAATCTAAATCAGCTGAATAGAAACGAATAGTCAAACTGTAATTAGCAATTATGTTTTAGACATTTCGCAGTATTCAGATCTTCTTACCTCGTTTTCATCGCTGTATCTGTGTGATCTTCAGTCTTCGGCCTCCATCATCTTCTTCTGACTAATCTCACGACCCTTGTAATTTCCTCTCGGAGCGCTGCATGCGGCAGTGACTGACAGTAATTCACTGGCTGTAATGTCATTTGGCTGCCGTTCCCTCCTGTATCAGACTCTGTTTTGCTCTCCATCAGCAGTTCTGAAGTTCTGCCCCTCTGATGATTGTGTCTCACACTCGTTAGATGGAATTGAACTGAGCTTTTCTGCGCTCTAATAACATGTTTCATTTATACTTAAATTCAATAGTCCTCAGGCACTTTTCATTTGCATATATTTATATATATATAGTTCCCATTTGCATATATTGCAGATATATATTTGCAGCCTTGAACGCTGAACCATCTGCGCTCTTTGAAGTGTGTTTCGAGTATCTAGCAGTCGGTACCAGACGGGAGCTGATAGGGTCCTTGTGTAATCTCTAGAGGAATGTTCAGGGGCCGAAGGGAAAAGAGCTTCACTGCAAACACCTGAGGGCCACAAGCTTCCCGATTTCTCTCTCTTTTTCCGCTCTTGCTGTGCAGTCCAAATAATTTAATCTCTGCTGGTTTCCTAAATATTTAAAGGGGTAGTGCACCCAAAAAAGAATATTGTGTCATCATTTTCTCACCCTCAAGTTCCAAACTTGTGTGAGTTTTTTTCTTCTGTTGAACACAAAAGAAGATATTTTAAAGAATGTTGGTAACTGAAAAGTTGATGGTAGCCATTTACTTCCATAGTATGGAAACAAAAAACTATGGAAGTCAATGGGGATCATCAACTGTTCGGTTTCCCACATTCTTCAAAATATCTTCTTTTGTGTTCAACTGAAGAAAGAACTTCATACATTCTTCAAAAAATCTTTTGAAGAATGTGGATAACCGAACAGTTGATGGTACCCATTGACTTCCATTGTATGGAAAAATGGAAAAGTCAATGAGGATCAACAATTGTCCAGTTACCCACATTCAACAGAAGAAATTCATACAGGTTTGGAACAACTTGTGGGTGAGTAAATTATTTTCTTATTTTGGTGAACTATCCTTTTAACTGTCTCTATACTTAGTTTACAGTCATAATGTAAATGACTAACATGACCTCATTAGTATCCGCAGGTGTTTATAAAATGAACTGGATTCTGTAGCTCATGATGCAAATCTGCTTACAGCGGGACGACCTACTTCTTTTATAAACTGCAGTTAGAGAGGCATAATTCAGATGTTATGGAATGTGGGTCTATTCGTTCATTTCAGGACTTGAAAGGCCAATTTAATCTTCCAGGGTGTTCATTTTTCTTTTACTTTACAATTTTGTGCTTGTAAAGTCTGAGGCATCCGAATTATATGATAAAATATTAGAATGTTCCAATTAAATCTTAATTGGATGTTTATTGCATGAAAGACCTGGAACTTTTGTAATCTGAATCTAATTGGAAGGTTGATTGGGATAATATTGCTGCAGCCTCGAGAAACCTTAATCTAATTATTCATTATAGCTTTCTTCACAGATTGTATTTCATGCCACATAACTTTTTTTTATGTCTCAATAACTGAAGCTATACTTTCAAAAGGTTGTATATTTCACACTTTCACTAACCAAAAAATACAGTAAAAACAGTAATATTGTGAAATGTTAAAATGTCATTTATTCCTGATCAAAGCTGAATTTTCAGCATCATTACTCCAGTCTTCAGTGTCATGGTCCTTTAGAAACCATTCTACAGTAACATGCTGATTTGCTGCACAAGAAACATTTCTGATTATTATCAATGTTGGAACGGGTAATATTTCAGTGAAAATAGTGATACATTTCTTATTTCAGGGTTCTTTGATGAATAGAAAGTTTGAAAACTGTATTTATTTGAAATAGAAATCTTGTGCAACATAATAAATGATCAATTTAATGCATCCTTGCTGAATAAAAGTGTTAATTTCTTTAAAAAAAAGGCTTTTTGTTTTCTCAGCACTCATGGTTGTTTTTGTTATTTGCTTTAAAATTAAAGCCTTTTTGCATCGTTTTAATCAATTAGTATTCCCTCCTCCGCTCTTGAAAATTGTGCTAACATGCTCTATTGATTTCTCCACGCTAATCTTTGTTCCCTTGCATATAGACCCTCATGCATATGCATGCAGCAGAGGTTTTAATATTAATGCATAATTAAACGATCAACTCAGTGGTTTCAGCACTTGGAACAGATATTGACCCGTTTACTGTCGCATGGAAAACAAATGGAAATATTCAGTAAACATTCAGTAATAACATAAGGCCAATGTGATAATATGTGATGTTAAATGAGTAGTTGTTGGTGTCATGCAGAGTTTCCCAAAGGCTCATTAGTTAAGGGGTGATTTAATCTAAATCAGCTGAATAGAAACGAATAGTCAAACTGTAATTAGCAATTATGTTTTAGACTAATGTAAGCAGCAAATGTATGCAGCGCACTAAACGCTATTGAACATCACAGCAGACGTTTATGATTATTTTATTCATGGCCAATTGGTAATCAGACTCCAGTGAATCAACATTTGGAGCTTGTAGTTTGGCGTTTGTTTACACAGTGTTGGCGGACTGATTGCTTTCTTCCTGGATGCTGCGAGTTTGCAAACGCTTTAAGCTGCGGAAGGAGTTTGCTATAAAAACCCATGTGTGTTTTGCAGGATTCCGGAAGGACAGTCGGATGGGCCAATATCATCAGGAAGACTGCGGTCTCTTGAGGAACAGCTAAGCCGAGCCAAACAGAAGATCCACAGCTTTCAGAGATTATCTGGAGACGGTAAGAGAGTAGATCATCAGGACTGAGTCTTTTTTCTGAACCCTGACAAAACCTTCCCATACACATGACCCAAACACTCATAGTCTTCCATTGGTCGGAATAACACTAAATGGAAGACAGTGTATCTTTAATATGAATGAATCTTGAATATGTTTTTATTTTAAGTAAAACATTTTTAAAACAAAATTTCTGAACCCTGACAAAACCTTCCCATACACATGACCCAAACACTCATAGTCTTCCATTGGTCGGAATAACACTAAATGGAAGATTTTAAGAAATTTTTGTTTAGACAGTGTATCTTTAATATGAATGAATCTTGAATATGTTTTTATTTTAAGTAAAACATTTTTAAAACAAATGGAGAATCTGCCAGTTCAGTAAGATATAAATGCACTTACATTCTCAGTACAATCTACAAAATTAAGTCTAAGTAACTTTTAAATTTGTCTAATTTACACTGCAGTTCAAAAGTTTGGGGTTGGCAAATTTTTTTTATTTGTTTTAATGTTTTAAGTATCTTATGCTCAGTTGTTTGCTAAAAAAAAATACAGTAAAGTCAAAAATAATGTGAAATATTATTACAACTGTTTTCTATTTGAAAATATTGTAAAATGTAATTTATTCCTGTGATCAAAGCTAAATTTTCAGCATCATTACTCCAGTCTTCAGTGTCACACGATCCTTCAGAAATCATTCCAACATGCAATAAGACCAAATTTTATGTCTTCAAATTATATATATATATATAAATAACACAATTATTCATGCTTTCTGACTATAAGTATGCTTCCTACTGTACAATCAGAACAGTTTAAGCCTTTTAATCGATTGAGTTGTTTTTTTGTTTTTTCTAACGACAAATTTCTAACAAGAATTTCATTTTCTTTGTCAACCAGCAAGGGAATATTTTGTGGCAGATATAACAAACTATGCATCATCAGTAGCAGTTTGTTTCCTCAAATTAGGCTGGATTGCTTTCATTCAAATATAAATCTCAAAATGCATAAACTGCTCTCCAGACCCCTGCAGTTCCACCCAGGGCGTAAAATTAAGAGTTGAGCGTTGGCGAGAATATGACATTTTCCAAGGAAATCAACCTATGTCTTATTTACAGTTATATATGAAACTGGGATACAATAATGCATATTAACATAAAAAAAATTGTTGTTTATATTCTGACTTGCAGATTGACGTCCATGTAGGTCTAACAGAAGCACAACAGCATGAGTCATTAAATGTTTGCACATGTTTGTGTGTGTGTATTCAAGTCTTTGCATGCATAATCATGGCTAGCGAATGGGTCAGGGTTGGGAAATCTCCTTGCTACAGGATCTGCCAGAAATAACTACCAACATCGTCAGCAGCAGCAGCAGCATCGTCACCCCGGGCCAGAAGAGCACAGGTCACAGATGTATAAGGATCATCCTTAAAGAGCCTGTCTCTCTGGCGCTGCTTCACGTCCTGTTCTGACCCCTATAAAAGACAGATAGATGCTGTGTGTCTCACTCAGGTCACCTCTGCTGTAATGAGAGCAGGATTAGAAGAGAAACCTACAGCACCTGAACCTCACAGCCACAGTCACAGTACTTATTTGAATGATTCTTCACTAGACTTGAACAGCGAATGTTTGCACATGTTTGTGTGTGTATTCAAGTCTTTGCATGCATAATCATGGCTAGCGAATGGGTCAGGGTTGGGAAATCTCCTTGCTACAGGATCTGCCAGAAATAACTACCAACATCATCGTCAGCAGCAGCAGCAGCATCGTCACCCCGGGCCAGAAGAGCACAGGTCACAGATGTATAAGGATCATCCTTAAAGAGCCTGTCTCTCTGGCGCTGCTTCACGTCCTGTTCTGACCCCTATAAAAGACAGATAGATGCTGTGTGTCTCACTCAGGTCACCTCTGCTGTAATGAGAGCAGGATTAGAAGAGAAACCTACAGCACCTGAACCTCACAGCCACGGTCACAGTACTTATTTGAATGATTCTTCACTAGACTTGAACAGCATTTGCATTAGTTATATTGCACTTGTATCTACAGTATGTAAAGTATGTAATACATTTTTAGCATTATTTTTACAATAACAATACAATATCTTTCTTAGATTTAGCGATTTGTTTGGGATATTTTGAAACTATTAAATGACAAATATACTATTTAATTTAACACTCAAATTAAAATATTTGAAATTTATCAAATACATGTGTTTGTGTTTGTAGACAGACAGACAGACAGACAGATAGATATGATTGGTTCATGCGATAAATCCGCCTCTTGTGTTTGTGCGCATTCATCGTTCATGAATCAGTCTGATTGAACAATATAATTGCGTTAATAGGAAAGCTAATTTTAAAAAGTAAGTAAACAACTCACACACTTAGATATAACTACTAAGACTTGATCAGACTTGAAATGGCCTGAAAACATATTTAGCGAGCTTTGATGACTTATGATCCGAAAAATTCAAAAGTAGTTGAAAGTTAACTTTAAAAAAGAAATAAGTTCACAAAATAAAATTTGTTAAATTGTTACTGCCTTGAGTTATTATGATGGAATAAATGTAAAATGCTTAAAAACACTAACTTGATGAGTTTCATGCTTGGCTTTAGTAAATAGAATATTGATTACGTTTTGATTACTTTTTCTTCTTCTTCTGATAGCTAAAAAAATGTGACTGGGACATGAATTTGCATTTGATAAAAAAAAAACTGAGTTCCTGTCAGTATAACTGTGAGTATATATCAGTGACACCACTGATATTTACAGTACATATATAATATATATTTTGCCTAAATAAATAAACTAGTCTTTATAAGTCTAAATGATAAAACTACAAATATAATAGTTCATTCAACACTGAAACATTTTTCAAATGTATATATTTTATAATAATCTAACCCAATATTTGAATATTTTTATGCTTAGTATAGTATCACATTGTTAGCTTGGTAACACAACAATTGTGAGTCCTACCGCATGCAGAGAATCTAAATGAGTCACTTCTGAGGTTCCATCTCAGTTAGGATGCGTCCCATGTATACAGCATTCATTCAGGGTCACCCGTCCCGGAGAGATTATACCCAGGGGTTTCTTGAAAAGCACTGAATTGAACTTATTACATAAGAGCAAAAGAAGTAGGCAGAGAAGTGTAGAGCGAGAGATGAGTGAACGCAGAATCAAAAAGAGGACAGTCGAAATCTGTAGGGAAGATCAGCAGCAATTGCAACCGTTTACATTTTCTTTAAGAACTCACAGACTATTACAAATCTACCTGCCGTCTTTTTATATAAAACACACGAGTCAACATTAATAGCTGGCAAGTCAACTAGATACATAGTTGACTTACCAGTTAAGTTGTGATTATCTTCACAGCCTTTCAGACATCATTGCCTAATTAGAGCACTTTTGAATCTCTCTTCTCTTTGTCAGTTGGTCCGGGTCGAGAACAGGAGGAACTGCGGAGGAAGGTAGAGAACGGAGTGAAAGAGCTGTGGTATTTTATTCACAGCGAGATACAGAAGCTGAGTCACGTCGAGCCGTCAGACAGACAGAAACACACTGAGACGCTGCTGCAGGACCTCGGTCATCAACAGAGGTTAGATGCGTACAGTATCATCACGCTGTTGCTCACTGATGCTCTTTTGTTCCTCAGGGGATCTGGTCAAGGTTTCATTCAAGTTTTGTCTTTTGGTCGACGTCGTGCTAGTTTGTTTGGTGTGTTCCACTTGTCGGGCTCACGTCGGCGGCAGTTTGCCCGGTTGGCGTCGGGGTTGTCGGGACCGTCGGCGTGAGTGAGAGCTCTGATTGGATGTTCATTTTAGCAAACGAGTCAGTTTCCGAGAATTAAAGCGAAAATGATGAAAACAAGCACGTAAATGAAGGCGGTACAGACAGAAGGCTGTTTAAATGTTATGTGATCTTTCCCAATCATTCTAATACGCAAATGTTTTCATAACAACATGAGCCGCTTAAAATTATTAAAGGGGTCATATGATGCGATTTCAATTTTTTCTTTCTCTTTGGAGTGTTACAAGCTCTTGGTGCATAAAGAAGATCTGTAAAGTTGCAAAGACTAAAGTCTCAAATCCAAAGAGATATTCTTTATAAAAGTTAAGAGCCTACCTAAAACGGCTCGTTCTAGCACGCCCCCACATGTCTACCTCACGATGTGGGAAGATTTGCATAACGCCGCCCAAATGTTCACGCAAAGAAGGCGTAACTTTTATACTCGCTAAAATATAAATATATATAGGTCTTATTTTGACACATAGTCAAAACAATAATGAAGACTACATTTTGTATGAAGAACATGAATCCTATTTTTCAAAGTATTAAGATTTATTGCATTGTGACAATAGCACATTTACCCTCTAAATTCTTTTTAATGTAATAAGAAAAAAAAGTTTAATTGAAATCATAAAGTATTAATGAACCACATGAGTATTTATTGTATTGCCTTTAATTAAAAATACATTATGGTATAATTTTTACTATACTAGAAGTTTAGTAAGAAATAAGAAGAAGAAGAAATCATTTTAAATATTATTTAAAATAAATGTACAACAAAATTATACAATAAAATATATACAATACACACACATGTATATGTATGTTTTTATATTTTTATAAATGTATTTTCAATTATAATAATTTTATTTGTGTCTTTTGATCAACAAGACTGTATTTATTTGATAAAAAATTGAGAAAAACAGTAACACTGCAAAATATCATTAAATTTAAATCAGCTGTTTTATTTTTGAATATCTTGTCAAATGTAATTTATTGCTGTGATCAAAGCTGAATTTTCAGCATCATTACTCCAGTCTTCCGTGTCACATGATCTTTCAGAAATCGTTCTAATATGCTGATTTGATGCTCAACAATCATTTCAGATTATTATCAATGTTGAAAACAGTTGTGCTGCTTTAAATCTTAATGTTCCTAAAGCAAAAGATCATTTATTTATGTATTCTTCTGTTTTTGGGGTGAGTTGTGAATGTTCTTGATGGCTTTGATAAAATTCAGGATTGTTTTAGGTGAGTTGGATGATGAAGAATGGATGTGCATCTCTACTTTCATCGTTATGAAACAGCTCCATATACTAATAGTGCTGTAATAGAAATATAGCAGCACTTAATTTTGAGTTATCACCCGCTAGACTAATTACGGACAGAGACGCTGTCAATATCTCATTATCTCTGTGTCTCTCAGACACACCATCAGCACATCAGCACCTGTTTTTCCGTTTTGACAAAGAGAAGCGTTCGATACACATTTAACTCCCTGAGGAGTCTCTCATTGATGAAGTAATAATTAAACTCCTCATAAACCCAGCATATGCTCATCTGTTTGAGTTAGCAAATGACGCTTTAACAGAATTCATTACTAGTGTCTAAAACTCGATTTAAAATAAAATGATCATCAAACATGTTTCAGACCTGTATTACTTTATTTCTTCTGTTGAACACAAAATGAGATGCTGGGCTGAATGTTCATGCTGCTCTTTTATGATTTCATATGATATTATGATTTAAGCATTTGTTCAGTTTGGTTTGACAGGATTGGATTATTTTGATTTCATAGTTCTGTACAAAGCGATGCCTCAAACCCAAATGTGACCGGAGGGAGAGTTGAGGTAGAAATGGGATAAAAATATGGTCAAAATAGGTCAAGTATTGTACCACAAATAATCAGAAGTGCTGGGTGGATTATTTATCAATTATAGTCCATTACTGAATTTCAGGTAACATAATATGACTACTTTTAGATTCCTTTTTTAGAATAATCTTATATCATATTGAAATAAAATAAAAAGAGAAAAAAATGTTTATCCCATTCGCTATACAGTGCTGGGTAGATTACTTACAAATTGTAGTCTGTTACTGATTACAAATTACATGACAAGTTGTAGTTATTAACATAACATTTTAGGTTATATAATCAGGCAAATTTTTGATCGCTTTTAGATTACTTGTGACCTAACTCGTTTATCACATTGATTTAATTTGGAAAATCTTGTACCATATTGATAAAAAAGAAAAAAAAATACAAAGAAAATATATTCCGTTCGTTTGGTTTAAACAACATGAAATGCGTTAATCATTACATTACGCTAATAATTAATTAAATCATAGAAACAAAATTAAAATAAATAGTTTTAAAATAACAACAAAGTAAAACGCTTACTAAAACAATGAAATATTTTATTTGTTTACCTGCATGTCATGTGAGCATTAACCAATGTCAAAGAACTGCTCACCTGCATGTATGTTACTTAATTATTAACTTATTACCAGAGGTGCAAAGTAACTAATTACAAATACTTTCGCTTATGCCGAGTTCACACGGCACGATTTTAGCCCGATTTTTCACTCGCCGACAGGTTTTGCGAAATCTCAGAGAAATGCCCGAAATACGGTTGTTTTTTATGTCAGCAGGTTGAAGCGACCCCAATAATGTGATATTTAGGCCCTGGAATGTGAATTGTACCAGGAGAACCCCGCCAAAAAAATTTGTATTTTACCCCCCGAACGCGATTTTTACTGGGGGACCCCCTCGAAAGCAATTGAGCTATTTTCAGGCTAGTTTTGAGTAGTAATTGGGCGGGTTTTGTAGCGAAAACCTGACAACCCTGCACCAGACAGAGCTGTCGGCGATTCTTCCTATTGTGAAGTCATGCAATGTGAAACCCCCTGTCGATCTATCCATCGTGCAATGTGAACACAGCAACAACTGAATGCTACCCCAGATAGTCAAGCAGTGTGAAAACAACGGCGATCCGACGAGTTTGAAAATCGTGCAGTGTGAACTCGGCATTAGGGGTGTTCGATATGACGATTTTTGATCGCGGACGATCTGCTTTTGAAGAAATATCGTAGTATCGTGCTACAGCGCACATTCTATCAGTTGCAGTTCTTCTGGCGCCTCCATCTCAATATACTGTACAATGCGACATAGGCTCGACATAGACATAAAATAGTGGCATTCATATCAGTGTTAACTCAGCGGTAGAGTTACTTTGACGAGACACTGCACCTATTCGCAGTCCCAAACGTACATTATTTGCATGTGCTTTAAAGTCTGTTAAATTACTGTTTAAATTTTTCATTCGCGTGCTGTTCTGACAAGCGCTTTTTCTATGCGCGCGCACTTAAGCCTGTCAAACAGCGCCTGGTTACTGAATCATTTACGCTAATACTGTCAAAACACACAAGGTTTACATATAGACTCGGTTGGTTTATGTCTAAAATGAAAGTAAACAGTTGAGAGAAAAACAGATAAGTTGCCTGTATATTAGATGCGTGCTGGTCTTAAAGGGACAGTACTAAACATGCTGCCGGGATAGTTCACCCAAAAATGTATTTTCTGTCATTATTGACTCACTGTAATTATGTATCATTAAGTATAAGTATTATTAAGTATCATTATGTTGTCCCAAACCTGTATTAATTTATTTCTTGTGCGGAACACAAAAGAAGATGTTTGAAAGAATGTGGGTAACCAAACAGTTGCTGGTCCACATTGAATTTAGGAAAAAAATACTATGGAAGTCACTGTGGCAACGGTTTGGTTTTCCACATTCTTCGAAATAGCATTTATGTTCAGCAGAAGAAAGAAACTCATTCAGGTTTAAAACAACTTTTGAGTGAGAAAATGATAGTATAAAAATAAAACACTATGACAGAATTGACAGAAAGATAACAGAATTTTTATTTTTAGGTGAATTATTCTTTTAATGTTAATAAAACACCAAAACACAAAGAGAAAAATCACTACTCTTGACTGAAAAACTTTAAAGGGGTCATATGGTGCGATTTCAATTTTTCCTTTCTCTTTGGAGTGTTACAAGCTCTTGGTGCATAAAGAAGATCTGTAAAGTTGCAAAGACTAAAGTCTCAAATCCAAAGAGATATTCTTTGTAAAAGTTACGAGTCAGCCACGCCTACCTAAAACGGCTTGTTCTAACACACCCCCACATGTCTACCTCACTATGTGGGAAGATTTGCATAACGCCACCCAAATGTTCACGCAAAGAAAGAAGGCGTAACTTTGATTCTCGCTGTAGTATTGTTGCCGCCGCCGCCATGTTGTGAAGGCACTGTGTTTCGTTGTGAAAGCGAAACTACTTTGTTTCGCCTTCCAAAAGAGGACGATATCCGCTTTGTCGTGCCTGGAGCTGATCCGTGCTGGTCGCAGAGGGAATACATCAACTTCGCTGTGGATCGCCGGATCGGCTTTCACCGTGGACGAAGCGGAGTCCAGCCCGGGGTCGTCACATGTGGTTGCCGCAGGCATCACAATATGGTAATTTACGTAACATTTCCGTCACACGCTTGAGGTATTCGGCCAATCACAACGCACTGGATAGCTGGCCAATCAGAGCACACCTCGCTTTTCAGTTCGATGAGCTTTGTAAAAATCGACGCGTTTCAGAAAGGTGGGGCATAGAGGAGAAACAATAATGTACAGTATGTGGAAAATAATGTGTTTTTTGAACCTTAAACCGCATAAATTCATTTCATTACACCAAATACACCAAATAATGTTTTTTAGCAACATCATATGACCCCTTTTATACAGTTGCTTTAATAGGAATCAGTATATATAGTGTTTTATTTTTATATTTGTTCATTCAATTTCTTGAATGCTCCTGTTAAATGCACCTATATTGTACCTAAAAATAAAACATTGTTTGTTTTATTTGTATATTATGTATACTTGTAATGTGTTGTACTTTGTACTCCTTTTTTAATAACAAAGATAAAATAATGACAAAGATTTTTATCTTCGCCCAGCAAACTACTTTTTCATTCTTACTTGAGTCATATTATTTTTGAGTACTTTTACTTGTACTCAAGTAAATTATTCCTTAAATAGCAATACTTTTACTTAAGTGCAATTTCTTAGTACTCTTTTCACTATTACCTTAAAATCTCAGAGGTACTTCAAAAAAATATATATAAGGTGGAAAGTTCAGCTGACAAATATAAAGCATGAGAATCCCTGCATTACATCGAAATAAGAAATAACATGAATGTATGCATGTTTATGTGGTTGAAAGACAAAGGCCTTCCAAAGACATAGTAATACTGTACATGGGTAAATTAGGAAGAATCAATGAATATTCACTAATGTACTGTTATTTTTCAGTAATATGTAATCATTGTCAGCTGATAGAGGAGGATGTTTGAGCGTCTCCTGTGTGTTTCTGTCAGAACCATCATGACGGACCTGCAGGATCTCAGTCAGGCGGACGGAGCAGGAGACTGGAGAGAGAAGGAGGCCAGACATCTTTCCAGCCTGGTGCAGAACAGGATCTCCTTCCTGCAGGTACAGAACGAACCTTCCTCCTGCTGTTAGACTTCCTAAAATACAGGGAAAACTGGAAAATTGTGAAATGTTATTACTGTCACGAATTCGGTCCATGAACTTCAGTTTATTCACCACCAGAGGTCACCCTTTCCATTACATTGACTCTCGCACAACACAAACTGTTGCATAGCACCCCGGACTACATATCCCATCATTCATTGCACGATTTGTACACTGCACTGATTGCACTCATTGCACACAGCTGTTTCTTATCACCTCACTCACTATATAACACCCACTCAAACCACCATTCTCTGCTGAGTATTGTTTAGCCTGTATCCCTTTCCGAGTCTCCTTGTTTCCTTGTTTTGCCTTGCCTGTTTTTGCGGTTTCTGATCTTTGCCTGTTTTCTTGGATTTCTCCCTCTCGTCTCGCCCCTGTGATTCTGTCTGCCGATCGGTGACCTAAGCTAGCCCTAGGACTATTCTTGCGTTTTTGCCCGCCATATACCTGTTTGCCATTGTTCGACCCTGCCTGTTATACCACATCTCTTTAAATAAAGCTTGCAGATGGATCCACACGTCTCACGTCTCGTCAGCCCCGTTACAATTACAATTTAAAAGAACTGTTTTCTATTATAATATCAAAGCTGAATTTTCAGCATCATGAGTATTCATGAGTTTTCGCCACGTAAGAAAAAAAATAATGCCTCAAAGTCTAAATTATGACATACTCAAGTCGAAATTATGACTTTGAAAGTCTAAATATTTTTCAAAAAAATTGTAATTTCATTTGAAATAATTGTCCATTACGCTAAGTGTAATTAGCACACTCTCTCACTCTCTCGCATGATTTGAGAAATCATTCTTGTCTGGAACACAAACTAATCGAGTTAGGCTTTAGAGCTGAATTATATGCAGTACGGCTGTCAAAAAAAAAGTAAAATAAAAATCCACATTCGAATGCAAAAACGTTGCATTTGAATTTTAGGTGTGCGTTAAGGAGGCAGCCTTATCAGTGGCGCACGAGATACGATGACGATGTAAGTGTCGTTGCATTATAATGTTTTTGTTAGTCTAGCCAGATGAAGCCACTAGATGCGGCGCTGCTGCGTTGTTGATTACAAATATTGCGGGAAAAGAGAACATCAATGCGAAGATCTTGTTTACGTCAAAACTGAAACCTATCCGTTCACACAGAATGCATATTTCACACATTTTCTAGAGGGACATCTATCACCATTGCACTCGCGTCTCGCACAAAAGAGCCGCATGTTTAGAAAGCCATATAAAATTAATGCAAGTTCAACTTTGAAAAAACATATCTCGAGACTTAATGGCGGGTTTTTTTCCCCCCATCCCACTGCAATTCGTGTTTTTAAATGAAAAATGTACTCTGTGTGATTGGCTTTCGGCCCTTTGTATTAAACTATGCATACATACATGATGCTGTTTTGTTTATAGTTGTTTAAGCAACTTAATTATAATTTTATAAACTATTTTATAATTTATAAAATTATCTAATTTTATAAAGTTTATAAACATTATTTTAAAAATTATGCACTTTTTTCACAGATAGTCATGTTATCTTATGTTTGATGCGCCCTCTTGTGGCCTCAGGAGCCAAAAGCTTTCATTTACCCTAACTGAAATTATGCATTTTAAATTCGAATATAATTCGAATTTTGATCATATTTAAGCACAAAATTCTAATTTATTTTTTCAGCCATTTTGACAGCCCTAATGTGCAGAAGCAATAAAGCGAACAACACTAATGAAATATATTTTCTGATATGATTCACTCTGTACCGTTGTTCCTCTTTGGGACTGTTTCTTTTTTCTCTCCGTTCTCTTTATACTGAGATCTATGACTTTATGCCAGTTTATTATTGTAAAGGAAATATTGATGTCATTTGTGAGTTTGATTTTCTTTACAAACCACCGCTAATGAAAATTAAAGTGTAAGATCAACTGAAGTCAGTCTTTTATTGATTTATTTAACCATTTTCATGTATATTTTCAAAGTTATGTTGCGAGATCTTTTGAATCTCGACTCTTATGCCTCGATCATACATAATTTGTTTTCTGCAATAAAGCAAGAAAAAGATTGTCAAGTCAATCCAAAAAGAATCATCGAAGATCCCATGTTATTTAACAGAACAACATATAGCTGATCATTACGGATGGTACCTACCTGTAGTGTAACTACCCAGTTTAAGCTGGTTTATCTGGTCTCTTGGCTTGTTTAAACTGGTTTTCAGTTGGTTTAGATGGTGAGCCATGAGTTAGCCTGACTAAACTAGACTGTTGTTTTTTTTCAGCAACAATTTATTTGACAAAAGTCTTCGGTAACGCAATACATGTCTTTTCTGTCACTTTTTATTTATTTTATTTTATTTTTCATTTTGTTTTATTTATTTTAGTTTACGGCTTTATTCTATTTTATTATTTAATTTATTACTTTTTTTTTTTAGATTATTTATTTTATTTATATACAATTATTTTAATGAATCTGGTTATAATTCAATACCATGGTACATATCAAATAATATCTTATCACTGATTTTCATACAATCACTCTACTAATATTGCCATGTACCATAGTATTGATTTTTTTTTATCATTTAGTGCCATTGTATATATCACTGTAACATAGTAGCAACACATTTATTTTATTTTATTAAATTGGAATTTATTTTATTAAATGTTTTATTGATTTTATGTAATATTATTTGAATAAATCTGGTTATCATTCAGTAGCATGGTATATATCAAATACTCTCTGATGGCTGATTTCCATACCATCACTGTACCATAGTACCGTCACAGTATATTTTTGTAAGCGCATGCTGCTCTAGTTTTATGCTCAGGCAGCACTTTGAGGCTTTTTTAGATAAGAGTGCTTCGTCTGCTGCCATAGCAAACTCTGTGCCAACACTATTGAATTTGGATTAAGAGTAAAATCTATATAGCCTTCACTCAAAAAAAAAAAAAAAATCCCCAGACAAATACACTAATGTGAAAGAGCCGCCAGACAATTCGATTATCGTAACTCATTTCCTCTAATGGCACAATAAAAAAGAAAAAGCATTTCTAAAGGGAAATATAGACTGCTAAAATCTTCCACTGCTGGACACACAGAATCACTTCATCTCTGGCAAATATGTAACATGATAACCATAATTACTGCCCAAATAACTGCAGTTATTATTCGTACTGTAATATTATAATTAATATGAGATCTCCTTCAAGCAACCTTTTATTTATTTATTTAATCATTCAAAAGTTTGAGGTCTATACGTTTTTTAATGCTTTTGAAAAATCTCACCAGGGCTGTATTTATTTCATTACAAATACAGTAAAATTGTGAAATATTATTACACTTTAAATGAAGTGTTTTGTGAATATATTGTAAAATGTAATTTATTCATATGATGCGAAGCTGAATTTTCAGCATCATTACTCCAGTCTTCAGTGTCACATGATCCTTCAGAAATCATTCTAATATGCTGATTTGCTGCTCCAAAATATTTCTTAAAATAAATGTAAAATAAAATAATAATAACAAATGTTTTTTTTATTCTTACTGACCCCGAACTATTTTATTTATTTGTTTATTTAATTTAATTTAATTTAATTTTTTTTTTTTGACCCTGCTTTTGCATGGCTGTAGCACCTTATTCACCTCCAGTCTTTCCCTGTGGATGAAACATTGAATGAAATAGATGATCTAATACATCAAACCTCTCATGAAAGCCTTTCTGACATCAGATGGGACTGTTTCAATCTCACTATATGAATCTCCAAAGGACTGACTGTGTCCCTGTCTGTCTCTGTCCCTCTGTCTCTCTTTCTCTGTCTGTGTTTCTCTCTTGTCTCTTTGAGACCCTGCTTACATGCAGTGAATGTGATATAATAATGAAATCAGACAGCTCTCACTGGAGAATATGAACAATCTCATCAGAGATTGTTGCGTAAAGCCTGAAAGCTTGCACTGGAAACAAGCATTGCATCCTGGTGTAGGAATTGTGGGAAAACAGTCTTTAGCATTCATTTTTAGAGTACTTGTTTTGTTTTGTTTTTTGTTATTTAATTTGATTATTTTTGCATGCTATATTAGGACAAATTAATTTAATCTAAAACGCAGCCTTAATTTTAATTGCATGTGTCATTTATCTTCTTTATCTTTGTGTTTTATATATTTGTTTTATTTTATTTTATTTTTATTGTATTGTATGTGCACATGCTCATGCAAATTCATTTAATCTAAAATGCAGTCATAATTTTAATTGCATATCTCATTTGTTGTCTTCGTCTGTATTTATTATTTTATTTATTTTATGTGTCATTTGTCTTCTTTTTTTCTAGATTCAGTTTTATTTACACATGCGACATTGGTACAAATTCATTTAATCTAAAATGCAGTCATAATTTTAATTGCATATCATCTGTATTTATTATTTTATTTTATGTGTCATTTGTCTTCTTTATTCTAGATTTAGTTTTATTTACACGTGACATTGGTACAAATTTATATAATCTAAAATGCAGTCATAATTTTAATTGCATATATCATTTGTCATCTTCGTCTGTATTTATTATTTCATTTATTTTGTGTCATGTCTTCTTTTTTTGTAGATTTAGTTTTATTTACACATGCGACATTGGTACAAATTCATTTAATCTAAAATGCAGTCATAATTTTAATTGCATATCATCTGTATTTATTATTTTATTTTATGTGTCATTTGTCTTCTTTTTTTCTAGATTCAGTTTTATTTACACATGCGACATTGGTACAAATTGATATAATCTAAAATGCAGTCATAATTTTAATTGCATATCTCTTTTGTCATCTTCGTCTGTATTTATTATTTTATTTATTTTATGTGTCATTTGTCTTCTTTTTTTCTAGATTAGTTTTATTTACACATGCAACATTGGTGCAAATTAATTTAATCTAAAATGCAGTCATAATTTTAATTGCATATCATCTGCATTTATTATTTTATTTATTTTATGTGTCATTTGTCTTCTTTTTTTGTAGATTCAGTTTTATTTACACATGCGACATTGGTACAAATTTATATAATCTAAAACGCTGTCCTAATTGTAATTGCATACAGTATGTCATTTCTATTCTTCATCTGGATTTTATTTTATTTTCTGTACACATGCTATATTGATACAAATTCGTGTGATCTAAACGCAGTGCTGACTGTAATTGTGTATGTCATTTGTGGCTCAGAACCCGCAGGACTGCAGTAAAGCTCGGAAGCTGGTGTGTAACATCAATAAGGGCTGTGGATACGGCTGTCAGCTCCATCACGTGGTTTACTGCTTCATGATCGCTTACGGCACGCAGAGAGTCCTGATCCTCGAGTCCCACAACTGGCGTTATGCTCCTAAAGGTTGGGAGACAGTCTTCCGGCCCGTCAGCGACACCTGCACGGATCGATCCGGAACCACGACCGGACACTGGTCAGGTGAGCGTCAATCCCGCTGTAGGTGTTCAGAGTGAGCAGATCTAAACATGAAAATGTGTCAGTCTGACTTCTTTCTTTCATATGTCATTGTTTTACTATCATTGATGCTAAACTATTACTTTAAGTTACTATTATAGTTATAGTTACTATTATGAATACAGTACTATATTATTAGTTGTGTTAATGTTTTAAATTAGATTTTATTTTTATATATTCTATTTTCTCTTAAAGTATTAGTAATTTTCCTGTTTTTGACATTATTTATTATTTTATTATTTATTTTTAAATATATGTATACACAGTTTATATTCATTTTTATTATTATTTTGTTTATTTACTTTTAGATTTTTCTTACACTAAATTAAATGAAAATGGGAATGTTGCCTTGACAACTAGCTGATATTTATTTATGTTTTTAAGTTTTAGTTTTGGTTAACTATGATTCTGTTATGGTGAAGGTGGCTATTTACCACTGCTTTAGATTTGGCTCGTTCAAAGTTACAGTATTTTTAATGTTAGTTTTACTGTTTTTAATTTAATAAAAAAAATAATAATAATCAAATGACTTGAAATATAAACTACCATTCAAACGTCTCTTTTGCTCACCAAGGCTGCATTTATTTGATTAAAACCAAAGAGTAATATTTTGGAATATTATTGCAATTTAAAATAGCTGTTTGTAATATATTGTAAAATGTAATATATTCCTGTGATCAAATCTGAATTTTCAGCATCATTACTTCAGTGTCACATGATCCTTCAGAAATCATTCTAATATGCTGATTTGCTTCTCAAGAAATATTTCTGATTGTTGTTCTGCTTCATATTTTTTGTGGAAACCAAATTTTTTCAGGATTCTTTGATGAATAGAAAGTTCAAAAGGACAACGTTTATTTGAAATAGAAATCTTATGTAACATTATACATGTAGATAATGTCATTTTTGGTTAGCGTAATGCATCCTTGTTGCATAAATGTATTAATTTCTTTCAAAAAATCAATTGTTCAAATAATCTTTTGAACAGTAGTGCATTTCATTTTTAATTTGCTTTAACTTTATAATCTAAAGAACAGTATAGAAACCATTTTTCTTGAATTTCCAGCAAAACCAACAAAACATTAGACTTTGCTAGTTTAGGTTTGCAGTAACATCTAAATGTATTCATGTTTGCAGATCTCCCTAATTAAAGTACATGTTGTTTATCTGTGTTCTCTGATTGCATTGATTTAATTGTTTTTCGCTTTCCTTCTAATTCATTTGAATGTGTTTTTAAATTAACTTAACTCTCATTTCAGTCCTTTTTAAAATAACTTGTGAACTGATTGTAATCTTTATTCTTTTTGTGCCAATTAAGCACCACTGTGTATGAAATGCACTGTAAGTTAGTTCAGGCCTGTATTTTTAATTTATGCGTCAGCATTTTCTACTCTAAAACCGTTGTGTGAACTAGAGTCCGCTTCTCTAATGTTCTGTAATGCTAAATAGACAAAGTGTAAAGCTCTAGTACAAGACGAATATTTAAGCATAATGAGGACATTTGAAAATTTCCTCTCTTCTTTGTGTCCTAATTATTACAGCCGAGGATCTGTTGAGGTAATAGATTATCTGAGGATTCTCGTCAAAACCCATTCCAGCCGCCAGAAACCAGAAGCGTGAAAAAGAGCTGCGAGTGCTCTTACATAAGCCTGGGAATGGCTTGGGAGTTTTTTCTTAAATATTTCATGCTTTAGCTAATTAAAATTTCAAGCATACTCCGATCACATGTGCACTTGCTGGTGGAAAGACCGTAAAGCAGCCGCTGTTGTTGTGTGGTAATTGTTGGGGAGAGTTTTAATGAGCTGCTTGTCAGTTGGTTTGCGGTCAAGTCCGTTCTGCTGCTTTAATGCTCATAATTAGCAGACCTGCCGTAACTTGTTTTTTAACAAACGATTAAAACAAAGCCGCTGTTTCTATGCAACACTTTCAGACTCGGTTAATTTGTGGTTTGTGTGTTTCTAAACTCAGTTCGAGATCTCGTAGGTTAATCAGAACCATTTCATTTCTCTAATAAAGGTGGGACTGAAAAATTGTGAGAGGAGAGTTCAGCCAAAAATGAACTTGGTGTCATTATTTACTCGCTCTCATGCTGTTTCAAACTTTATTTATTCTGCATAACACAAAAAGAGATGTTTAACAACTTTCACACTTCTGTTTTGTAGGAAACAGCAAAGGAAACAAAAGGAAAGGGAATGTGGACAGATTCTACAAAAATGACAAAGAGCACCATAAACGTGTCATAGAAGTGCATAAAAGTGGTCCATATGATTTTTTGTGCTGTTTTCAATTCAATTCAAGTTTATTTATATAGTGCTTTTCACGATACATATCGTTGCAAAGCAGCTTTACAGAACATTAAGTTTCTACAATATATAAGACGTAATCAAACAGACAATGAACACTATTGACAGCAATTATTATATGTTGCAATCAAACTTATAGCAAAATGTGGTAGTTCTGTAAGTTGTTTCAGGGTTGGCATCATCTGAGGTCCTCTGAGGGGTTGGCATCATCTCTTCTCAGGTGTTCTGGATCCAGACTGAAGCTTGTGTAAATCCTATGAATCCCGTGGCATAAACAGAGAAACAAATAGAGACAATTATAGCGTAGCTGCTGTTCCAACCAAGCATAAATTATTTGTTTAACCCAAGCTAAAGAATAACAATGTGCATTTGATCAGATATAACTGCAGTACAAGATTATGAGATGCATTATTTGAATGCTTGGCCAAAGAGATGTGTCTTTAATCTAGATTTAAACAGAGAGAGTGTGTCTGAACCCCGAACGTTATCAGGAAGGCTATTCCAGAGTTTGGGAGCCAAATGCGAAAAAGCTCTACCTCCTTTAGTGGACTTTGCTATCCTAGGTACTACCAAAAGTCCAGAATTTTGCGACCTTAGGGAGCGTGATGGATTGTAGCGTGGTAGAAGACTAGTTAGGTATGCAGGAGCTAACCCATTAAGGGCCTTATAGGCAAGTAATAATATTTTGTAACTGATACAGAACTTAATAGGTAGCCAGTGCAGAGACTAAAATTGGGGTAGTATGATGTAGCGAATTTAACTCATGGGGAAATATGAATAATTAACCATAACTAACTATGATTAATTATTAATATTTTAGATCCACTGTAGATATTTAGCTGACCACTCAGGGTCAACCGTCTTGTCAGTATGATCATATTTCCTTGACCTGCATTTTGGACTACATGTAGCTTGTTTATTGAAGATGCAGGACAACCACCTAGCAGTGCATTACAATAGTCCAGTCTAGAGGTCATGAATGCATGAACTAGCTTTTCTGCATCAGAAACAGGTAACATGTTTTGTAGCTTGGTTGGTAATGTTTCTAAGATGGAAGAATGCTGTTTTTGTAACATGGGAAATATGATTGCTGTCTAATATAACACCCAGCTTTTCTAATGTAGAGGAAGTAACAATACATTCGTCTAGTTGCAAATTGTAATCCAAAATATTCTGTGTACTGTTTTTTGGTCCAATAAGTAATATCTCGGTTTTATCCGAATTTAATAGGAGAAAATTATTGGTCATCCAATCTTTTACATTTTTAACACACTCTGTTAGTTTAGATAATTTAGAAGTTTCATCTGGTCTTGTTGAGATATATAGTTGAGTATCATCAGCATAAGAGTGAAAACTAATCCCGTATTTTCTAATAATATTACGGGCAACATGTATATTGAAAATAGCAGAGGACCTAGGACAGATCCTTGTGGCACTCCATAATTTACTGGTGATAATTGACATAAAATAAACAAATAAACGTTTAAATAAACAAAGTGGTAGAGATCAGACAGGTATGATCTAAACCCTCTTAAAGCCTGCTCTTGAATACCTGTATAGTTTTGTAATCGATCTATGAGTATGTCATGATCTATGGTGTTGAACGCAGCACTAAGATCAAGTAAAACTAGCAATGAGACACAGCCTTGGTCTGACGCAAGAAGCAAGTCATTTGTAATTTTAACAAGTGCTGTTTCTGTGCTATGGTGGGGCCTGAAACCTGACTGAAATTCTTCATAGAGATAATGTTTTTGCAGGAAGGAGCAAAATTGAGCAGACACAACATTTTCTAAAACTTTAGACATAAACGGAAGATTTGAAATTGGTCTGTAGTTTGCCAGTTCATTAGGATTGTAATAATTTACTTATTTGTAAGGGAATTAATCATTATTAATTCATTCAGGTTTATTTCTAGCTCAGGTTTTAAAAGAACTCGATCTGAGATACTGTTTTTCCATGCAATTCTAAAAACTTCCAAGTTAGTTTTTCTCCATTTGCCCTCAAGATTATGAGTTTCTTTCTTGAGAGAATCGGTATTACTGTTGTATTATGGCGCAGTACGTTTTTCTCTAACCTTTTTCAATTTGATGGGGGCAACAGCTTCTAATGTATTAGAGAAGATAGTGCCCATGTTGCTAGTCATTTCATCTAGTTAATGTGTATTTATTGGTACACAGAGCAGTTGAGATAAATCAGGCAGGTTATTTATGAATCTGTCTTTGGTGGCTGTAACAATTGTTCTGCCCGGACGATAACGCGGAGCCATATAGTTAATATCAGTAATATGCAGCATGCATGATACAAGGAAATGGTCAGTAACATCATCGCTTTGAGGTATGATATCTATATCAGTAAGATCAATTCCATGTGATATAATAAATCTAGCGTATGATTAAAACGATGAGTGGGCCCGGTGACGTTTTGCTTGACTCCAAAAGAGTTTATTAGGTCAGTAAACGCAAGTCCTAATGCATCATTTGTATTATCAACGTGAATGTTAAAATCTCCGACAATTAGCGCTTTATCAACAGTAACCAATAGGTCTGAGAGGAAATCTGCAAATTCTTTTAGGAAATCTGTATACGGCCCTGGTGGTCTATACACAGTAGCCAGAGCAAGAGATACGATCGATTTCTTTTGCATATCTGACAGTGTAACATTAAGCATTAGTATTTCGAATGAGTTAAACCTGTATCCTGTTTTCTGAGTAACATTGAGAATATCACTATATATTGTTGCAACACCACCGCCACGACCAGTCTGACGGGGCTCATGCTTATAACAGTAGCTTGGTTTTCAGCTACTGTTTTCAGCTCATATTTTAAATGTATTTTTATTTTATTATTTATTATTATTTATTTTATTTATTTTTATGAGGAACGTACCATAATTTGTAAGTTGTGCACAAACATAATATTTGAGAGCTGAAAATAATGACTTTTGGGTTTGTTCATCACACAAATATAGCATATGGCTTCAGAAGACTATATTAAAACAAATTACAATATATTTGTCATTTTTAATGCATTTTTGGAGGCATCCATCCCTATTCACTTTCATTGTTTGAAAAAGGGCAGCGTGAACAAGTCTTTCAAATCTATTTCTGCTGTTTTCTGTCAAATTGGAAGTTGTGCACAAACGTAGATCAGAATTGAGAACTGAAAATAATGACTTTTGGGTTTGTTCGTCACACAAAAGCTATCGTATGGCTTCAGAAGACTACACAAGGAAAAAATAAGTGTAAAAACAATTTCCACTCAGAAATTGCTAGTACATTTCACAGATAATTATGAAAAAAGGGCAAATAAATTTGTAAAAAAAAAATAATCAGTTCTCCAATAATCAGTTTTATTTTGAAAAATCTTATTTTATAGTGTATAGACAACAAATATTCTAAAAGTTTATGGAGAAAATTTATATATAT